GAAAATTTTTAATATAACAGGATAAAAAGAACATGTTATAGGGGAACAAAGATAAAGATGACATGACATATCTCATGGGAAACAATGCAGGTGAACAAAATCTGTAAAGAACTAAAAGAAAAACCTAGGATTAAAATATCATCTGAAATGATAATGATATAACTAAATATATATATTTTTGTCATTTAAATATCATTAAAAGTAAATAGTGATGGTTAATTTACATGTTAACTTTATTGGGCCACTGGGTGCCCAGATATTTGGTCAAGTATTATTTTGGTTGTTGCTGTGAGTATTTTGGATGAGATTAACATTTAACTTGGGAAACTTGAGTAAGACAGATTGTCCTCCATAATGTTGGTGGGCCTCATCAAATCAGTTGAAGGCCTAACTAGAACAGAAGGCTGGACCACTCCGCCCCGGCCCTGAGCAAGAGGGAATTCTACAGTAGACTGCCTGTGGACTTCATCAGCAGTTTTGCTCCTTTCAACTGGAGCATCAATTTTCCATGGGTCTTGAGCCTGCCCATACACAGTAGATTTGGACTTTCCAGTCACCATATTCATGTGAGCCAATACCTTTATAATCTTTCTCTCTGAATGTACACACACATCCTATTTCTTCTATTTCCCTTGGTACCCTGACTAATACAGTAATTGAATGTTTAAACGGACAGACAAAACAATAACATTGTGGAGTTTGTAACACAAGTAAAACACACAATAATAGCATGAACGTTGGGAGGGAAGAATGGAAGTATACTATTAAACAGTTGTTATATGTGAAGTGGTATAATATCACTTGAAGGTAGATTCTTGTAAGCCTCACAACAACCACTAAAATAAAACAGATAATTAAAACAAAGGAGATAAAGTGGAATCATAAAAATATTTGATAAATCAAGAAGACAGAAAAAAGAACAAATAGGAAAAATAGAAGACATATTGAGGTATCACACTACCTGATAAACTATACTACAAGGCCATAGTAATCAAAACAGCATGGTACTGGCATAAAAACAGATAGAGATCAATGGAACAGAATAGAGAGCCCAGAAATAAACTCACGCCTATGTGGGCAATTAAAATTTCATAAAGGAGGCAAGAAAATACAAGGGGGTAACTAAATGGTGTTAGGAAAATTGGACAGATACATGCCAAAAAATGAAATTAGACCACCTTCTTACACCACATAGAAGAATAAACTCAAAATGGATTAAAGGCTTAAATGTAAGACTCAAAAAACATAATCCTCCAAGAAAACATATGCAGTAAAATCTCTGGCAGTATTTTTTTTCTGATATATCTCCTCAGGCAAAGAAAACAAAAAACAAAAATGAACAAATGGGATTATATCAAAAGAAAAAGTTTTTGCACAACAAAGGTAACCATCAATAAAACAGACAACATACTGAATGGGTAACGATAATTGTGAATGAGACATTCAATAAGGGATTAATACTCAAAATTTATAAGTAACTCATATAACTCAACAAATAAGTAAATAATTAAGTAAAACCCAAACAATCCAATTAAAAAGTGGGCAGAGGACTGAATAGACACTTCTCCAAAGAAGACTTACAAATTGCCAATAGACATGAAAGATGCTAAAGTCACTGTCAGAGAAATGCAAATTAAAACCACAGTATCATCTTACACTTGTCATAATGTCAATAAATCAACAAGTGTTGGTGAGGATGTGGAGAAAAGGGAACCCTCATGCACTTTTGGTTGGAATGCAAATTGGTGCTATGGAAAATAGTGTGGAGGGTTCTCAAAAAATAAAAAATGTAACTGCCTTATGACCCAGCCATTTCACTTTCGGATATATATCCAAAGAAATCCAAAGCACTAATTCAAAAGAATATATGCACCCCTATGTTCATTTACAATAGCCAAGATACGGAAGTAACCCAAGTGCCCATCAAGAGACAGGTGGATAAAAAAGTAGTGGAATAGCCATGGCTGGTGTTTGTCAGTGGTTAGAGCACAGGTCCCGTGCACCAAATGGTCAAGGATTCAATTCCTGGTCAAGGGTACATACCTGGGATGCAGGTTCGATCCCTGGCTCTGGTTGGGGAAGAGGAGGCAACCAGTTGATGCACCTCTTTCACATCAATGTTTCTCTCCCTCTCCCGCCTCCCCAAACCTCCCTCCCTTCCACTTTCTCTAAAAAGCAATGGAAAAAATATCCTACGGTGAGGATTAACAACAACAGCAACAACAACAACAAAAAGTAGTGGTACATATATTCAATGGAATATTATTTGGCCAAAAAAACAGAATGAAATCTTACCATTCGCAACAGTGTGAATGGACCTAGGAAGTGTTATGCTAAGTAAAATAAGTCAGAGAAAGACAAGTACCATTTGATTTTACTTATATGTGGAATCCAAAGAACAAAATAAACAAATAAAACTAAAACAGACTCATGGACACAGAACAGACTGAGAGTTGCTAGAGGGGAGGGTGTTGGGGCACTGGGTAAAAAGATGAAGGATTTAAGAAGTAGAAATTGATAGTTACAAAATAGTCATGGGGATGTAAAGTGCAGCATAGGGAATATAGTTACTAATACTGTAGTAACTATGTATGGTGCCAGGTGGTCCTGGAGTATCTGGGGGAACACTTTATAAAGTATATGATTATCTAGCCACTATGCTGTACACCTAAAACTAATACAAAATAATATTGAATGTAAGCTGTAATTGAAAAGTAAAATGAAAAGAAAACATATAACAAGATGATAGATACAAACCCAATCATATTATTATTAAATATAAATTGTCTTATATCCTAATTAAAAGATGGAGATTAATTGGATTGGATAAAAAAGCAAGACTCAACTGTATGCTGCAAGAAATACATTAAATATAAATACATGTTAAAAGTAAAACAATGGAAAAAGATACACCATGCTAATATTAGTGAAAAGAAATCTAGAGTGGCTATATTCATACCAAAGATTTCAGAGCAAAGAATATTATCAGAGATAAAAAAGGTAACTTCCTAATGATAAATGGGTTAATTCATCAGGAGGACATAATAGTTTTAAACATTTATACATGTAATAACAGCTTCACAATATATTAAGCAAAAACTAATAGAGCTACAAGGAAGGATAGACTAATCCATAGTTATAGCTGGTGTTTTAATACTTTCAATAATTTTTAGAACAAGTAGGCAGAAAATCAGCAAATAGAGTAGACTTGAAGATCACTAGTAACCAACTTTATTTCACTGATATATATATATAGAACACCAGAATACACATTTTTAAAAAGCGTTCATGGAGCATTTTAACTAGATACACCAAGGTAGGCCATAAAACAAATCTCATTAAATTAAAAAGAATTCAGTTTATGCAAAGTATGTTTTCTGACCATAATGCATTTAAGTTAGATATTAGTAACAAAAATGTCCATGGAAAAGTCCCAAATATTAGGAAACTAAATACATACTTCTAGATAACCCAGGAATTAAAAGAGAAATAAAAAAGGAAATAGTAAGTTCTTTGAACTGAATGAAAGGGAAAATACAAATCAGAATTTATGGGGTACAGCTAAAGCAATCCTTGAGGAGAAATTTATAGCACTAACCTATAGTAGAAAAGAAGAAAGTTCTCAATTCAGTGTCCAGTTCCCACCTTAAAACACTGGAAGAAGAGCAAATAAAGCAAGCAATTAAAAGAATGGAAATAGAAATATTGCAATAGAATACAGAAAAATTATTGAAACCAAAGGCTAATTTTTGGAGAAGATTGATTTTATTAATAAACCTTTAACTAGAATGACCAGAAATAAGAGAAGATACATACCTATTACTAATATCAAGAATGAGAGGCCAGCACCAACCTGTATAATTTTATTAACCAATGTCATCCCAATAAACTCAATAAAAAAAGAATGAGAGAGGCAACATCACTACAGATTCTACAGATATTAATAAGATAATAAGTGAATATTATGAACAACTTTTTGCTGATACATTTGACAACGTAGGTGAAATGGACAAAATCTTTAAAAGACACAAATAAGGAAAGCTTGCTTAAGAATAGACAGATAACTGGAATAACTTAATTTCTATTAAAGATATTGGTGGTATAGTTAAAAACCTTCCCAAATGGCCTTACTAGTGAATTCACCAAACATTTAAGAAATAAATATGTATTCTACATGAACTCTTACAAAAAAATTGAAGAGGAGAGAGTATTTCCCAATTCATTCTATGAAGCCTGTATTACCATAACACCAAAATCAAAGACATTACAAGAGAACTATAGATCAGTGTGTCCTATGAACATAGAATAATTCTAAAAATTTTAGCACACTGAATCTAACAACATATTAAAAGGATAATACATCACAACCAAATGGTTTAAATATTTGAAAAAAATAAATGTAACTTACCACAGTAGCAAACTAAAAAAGGAAAATATGATAAGCTCATAGATGCAGAAAAGCATTTGTCAAAACACAACATCCATTCATGATTTTAAAAATAAGACAAACTAGAGAGACATGGAGAGTCAGAGGGAAGAGAATTTGGAGGCAGGGAGGCCAGGGAGGATGTTATAGACAAAGTTAAAGTGAGAGATGCTGAAGATCTGAGTAAAGACAGTGGTGGTGAGAATGAGAGGAGGAAAAGACCCCGACTGATATTTCGGAGGTAGAATTGATAGAACTTGGTGACAAATTAGTCACTGAGGGTTAGAGGGAAAGAAGAGTCAAATAACTGCAAGATGTCAAAGTGTGGGTATTTGGGTGGAGGTAAGGCTGTTATACCTTAGAGACATAGAAGACAATGATATCTGCATTTGTAGGGGGCCTCGTCCCAAGTGGGTGGAAGGAGACTTAGGATAGTAAGTTCTGTTTTGAGTTATCTGTTGGGGGCCTGTGGAGATGTCCAGTGAACAACTGGAACCAGTAAAGAGAAACCTTGTTAATGATGACATTCATGTGTACCTGTACAAAGGACCAGCCAGTCAACAGTCTTGGTCTAGTTCTGATTCAACAAGTCATAATTTGTTAATATTTCTCCAAATTTTTTGCTGGTTGTGAAGTCTTATGGCCGTAATCTAATGAGCTCCCTATTTTCTAGGTCTTAGTCTTTTGCAGCAGGAGGGAAATGAGGATTTCAGGTTGCTAGTGTCCCACCTGAGGGATAGTTGAGAGGCAATGAGGTGTCTCAGGCCTGACAGTACATGTTAGGAGGAGAAAGATGAAACTGAAACTGGAATGATGGGTGTTTCTGGAGGAGGGATGGTGGTAAGCTCTTGCATTATTTATCTCAGCTCTCTTTTTCTCTGCAGTGGCTGTCAGTGCAGCTGAAGACACAGGTCATCCCCACCTTGTCTTCTCCCAGGAAGGAAGGTATGTGAAAAATGGAGCACCTGCCAATTCTAGGCCATTACTTTCTACAGCATGGAACTACTTTACTGGATGGAGGACTCCTCAGCAGAACACGCACTTTGTGGAGAAATTTCAACACTTACCATGTGTTTTGGGAAAGAACGTTTTCCCTTTAGGGAAACATTACTGGGAAGTTGAGAACCGAGATACCCAGGAGATTGCTGTGGGGGTGTGTCAGGAGGACGTCATGGGGATTGTTGATAACGCAGAAATGTCTCCTCATGTGGGCATCTGGGCTATTTGTTGGAGTCCTGCTGGCTATTGGCCCCTAACAGGCTCCCCTGTGAGTCCCACCAGGCTAGAGCCAGCTCTCCACCGGGTAGGCATTTTCCTAGATTATGGGGCTGGAGATATCTCATTCTACAATGCTTTGGATGGAGTGCACCTACACACTTTTTCTTGTTCTTTTGTCTCATGTCTCCGGCCGTTTTTTTGGTTGAGCCCATTAGCATCTTTAGTCATCCCACCAGTGACTGGTGGAAAGTGATCATGGCTATTCTTCCCTGGTCCAAGAATCCCTACCTATGTCCCAGGGACACCCATTTCTTGGCCCTCTTCTTTAACTTCATAGTGATCCTTCGTAGTACATCAGTACTATCCATTCAGAACTCCAATTTTGTGTTTTGTTCATCTCCCTGTATGTCCTGTAGACAGATATGGCAGATCCTGTTGGTTGCCTTTCTAGCCACTTGCCCCACTTCTCAGCTTCTCTTCTGGATCTTTCCAATTGAACTGTTTGGTGTCCGCCCTCTATGTGCTTCAGGAGAAGCAGTCCCATGTGAGGTAATTCTGGCCAATGAGATAGGTTGGGAAGTTTTCCAAGGTGGGGAAACTTTCTGGGGAATATTTTTGTAGCTTCTAAAAAAAGGTATTTGGAAAGCCACAGCTCTTTTCTGATATTAGCAGCTGTCTTGTAACTGAGGAGAGTACAGTAACAGTGGAAAGGAAGAAAAAACATGGTCTTTGCTGGCATCATCAAACTGTTGGAATTTCCCTTAATCCCAAACTACTTGTTATCTGAGATTATTGCTGCCTTTTTGTATGAGGCGATTTTAGTTGCATTTTGGTTACTTGCCGTCTGAAGTGTTCTAACTGGTGCTATAGGCACATAGCGTGGATATCCCACCATTGAGGCTTATCTCATTTTTTTCTGAAACTTGACAAATGTATGGAATCCACATTCACTTCAATTGCATAATTCCTCTTTCCAGTAAGTACTATATCCTTCACTTTTCTGTATCAGAAAACTGAGGCAGTCTTCTCTGACTCTGCCCATGCTACTACTCTCTTCACCTGACCAGGTCCCAGTCGTCAAGTGTTTTTATGCTGTCTGTCTGTTAAAATCATAGGTTGTATATGCAAGTTTATTAATATAGTGGAAATGTTAAAAAAAACTTTTAAGTATTTACACTGTGCTAGCCTCTTCACATAATGCTTTCATATGACTCTTGTAACAGCTTGGTGAGATGGAGATTAAAGTCCTATTTTTACAAGTGAGAAAACAAATCTTTAGAGTAACTCACTAATTATTGCTTAGCTGGCAAATGGGAGTGTTGGGATTAAATTTAGATCTGTTTGAGATGAAAGCCACACTTTTTTTCTACTCTGCATTTATTTGTAAGTATTTATTGAATGCAGAGTAGGTCAGCATACATTTGTTTCTTATTTTATTACATGTTTTTATCCTATATATGTATTTTTCTGTTTACCTTTATACTCTCAACTGTAAGCACAAAAGAGGATTGTGGAAGTTACTGGATAGTTATTTTAAAAATAATGATTGTTGCTCTCGTTATAAAAGTTGTGCACTACTTATAGAAAATTGGAATGTACAGAGTGTGTAAAGAAAGTCATCACTGGTCCCACCATTACTAACATGTTAATGTGTTTTCTCCTAGATTTTCAATAGATTTTCTGGCAGTGATTTAACAAGGCTTCTTTCAAAACTTCTAGCACCCTCCCTAACTCTTCTCCCCCGTCCTGTGGCCCAGCCCATTCTGGCTTATCTTCCTATTCAGCCAGGCCAGTAAGATTTCATTTAATCATTTCTGCTGAGTTCTCCTTAACTCTCCAAGTTACTTGAGGTTATGAATTGAATGTGCCCTCCAAAAAGATATGTTGAAGTCCTACCTGTGAGTATGACCTTATTGGGAAATTAAGTTGAAATCATTAGGGTGGGACTAACCCAATGTGACTGGTATTATAATTAGAGGGAAATTTGTAAACACATACACACACACATGAAATGCCATGTGAAGACATGAAAGATGGCTATAGGAGAGATTGGAATTCCAATCTATCAAACCAAGGAATGCCTGGGCTGCTAGAAGCTGGGAAAGGAAGGAAGAATCCTCCTCTAGAAGTTTCCAAAAGAGCAGGGTCCTGCCCACACCTTAATTTTGGACTTCTGGCCTCCATACTGTGAGACAATAAACTTCTATGGTGTTAAGCCAACCAGTGTGTGGTACTCTTTAATGGCAACCCTAGGAAAGTAATAGGTTCCATCAGGACTTCTTCTAGTACCTGCCTTGTTAGTTTCCAGTCCTTGGGAAACTTATCAATACCTTTACTCCTCTCTTTGTTCTGGGCTGTTGAACCAGGTTGATTGGCTCTACTCCAAAGTCTTACTCTGACTTAAAGAGGGCTCTTTGAGCTGCTTGGTAAACAAACTTCAATTTTTGATCCCTTAACTTCCTTTTATATCTCTGGTGGCAGTGATTCCAAGCTTTTTCTTCTTTTCTCAAGCTTCCATGAGCTGCCTTTCATACCACTCTAGCTGGGGTAAAACTTTTCTTCTACCTATCTTAGGTTTTCAGATAGGATTCTAACAAAAAATTAATAAGAAAAAGAACAATTTATTAACACATGCAGCACATGACACTTGAGAGAAACTAAAATGAAGAGTAGCTCAAATTGGAGGCTTAGCGTTCTGACTTATATAGTACCTTCAACAAAGACCAATAAATTTGTAGAGAAATAACAGGACAAAGGAAAGCAGTGTTAGCCTCCTCAGGGTGGCAGGTTGCAGGAAGGTAAATATATGTGAGGAAACTAATGGAGTAGTTTGTTTGCAGATTCTTCTGGTGCTGTGTCTGAGTTAAGAGGCTGCTTCCAGTAAAAGGAGAATTTATATCTTGCCTTTAGGTAGAAAAGGAGGGGGGGGGCGGTGTGCTTTTCCTGGATTTCCCGCTGCTTATTTGTCTCAGCTCAACATAACTTACACTAGAGGCCTGGTGCACAAAAATTTGTGCACTCAGGGTGTCGGGGAGTCCCTCAGCCCGGCCTGTGCCCTCTTGCAGTCTGGGACCCCTCAGGGAATGATCACCTGCTGGCTTAGGCCTGCTTCCTGGGGGATTGGGCCTAAGCTGGCAATCAGACATCCCTCTGGCAG